ATGATTACTAATTATGAGGTTATTTGTTGCTTAAGAAATATAATTAAATGGATATGAGTATTTAGGTATGTTTATGTGAATCGAGAAATAAAAATGAGTAGAGAATGGTAAAGTTGGAATTTATCGAGATTGAAAAATTAACATGTCCAATTTTGGTGGTACATTGATGTGTGGAAGGTTATTATTTTATGATATTAAGGAAAATTGATATAATTAAATGTTTTAGGTCATACAATATAACGATAAATGCCAAGGTTACATGATCATAACATGATATGGTGAATAACATGTAAATAAATATAATGGTTGCCCTATAGCAAATAATGTGATGATAGATTTGAGTTATTAAGTTAATTAATTCTGTTAAGGCCATTTGTTGGATTATTGTATCATATTCCATACAATTTGGAAGCGTTGACTTAAATTATGAAGTTAAGATGAATTTAATGAATTTTTAGTGATTTAATTTTTGGGGTGATTTTCAATTGTATTTTTGGATTTCACGTATAAAGTATTTCATTTTTATTGAGATCTATTTGCTATGGAATACATGGATGATATGTCGAATAGTTTGAAGTTTAGGGTGATCATTGAATGTAAATTTTATTCAATTGTGGGACAGTATCTTTGGGTTATAATCTTAGTTAAATGTCTTTATGCGATATACAAGAAGGATTATGCAGTGATGATAGATCAACAACCCATTTATGGAATAAGAGTATAGAGTTTCATAATTAAACGTTATTATTTTCTCTTCATAGAAAGAAAGAACCAATTTTATATGGGTATAGAAATGTCAAAAGTTTTGCTATTAGGAAATTCTGAGGAAATATTTGCTCTTATATCTAAATATGATAAGTGATTGATTCACGATAATGATTTATGTTAAGGCTTAGAAAGTATTTTGAAGTAAACTTATAAATTATGGATGATACTATAGATTGATAAAAAGATATGATTAAATCATGATATATGGTTGGTTATATTGCGATTGACATATAGGAATTGTGGCATTATCACATGGTGGGAAGATCAATACTTACTGATCACAAGAGGTTAAGGTATATTTGTATTCGAAAAGGAGCCGAACTTGAAGCTGTGTATATATTATCGTTAGATGATAAAATGAAAAGCTGAAAATATCACAAATTGATCATTTGAATGATATTTAAGATATCAGTTTAACATTTATTGCATCTGTTCAAGGCTTAGTAAATAGACGTCGGATTTAACTTATGCTACAAGATTATCAGTGGAGTCAAAAGAGAAAGAAAATCTTATATATGAAGAAGAACCAGTTCAGATATTGGACAGAAAGAAATAGGTCTCGGGAAGTAAGACTATTTCTTTGGTTAAAATCTAATAGAGGAATTATGTTATAGAAGAAGCGACATGGAAGAGGGAAGAGCAGATGTGTTCTTAGTATCCACGACTTTTCTGTACTTAGTCGATTGAATTTCGAGGATGAAATTCTTTTAAGGGGGTGAGTTTTGTAATACCTTAATTTAGTAAAAACACAAAAAAAACAAAAAAATAATAATAATAATTGAAAAGTCAAATGTCATACTATATATATATAAAGTAAAAAAAAAGGTAAAAAAAAAAATGTTAGGCGGTGAACATCAATCCAATTCACATGCAAACAAAACTCAAACAAATCCATTTAATTTGCATGGAGAGAGAAACAAAAATAGGGAGAAAGAAAGAGAAAAAGAAGAGAGAAAAGAGAAAGAAAAAAGAAAGGGGAAGAAGAAGAAGAAGAAAAAAATAGAAATTTTTTTGCTAATGTATTAAGAATTAAGTGGTCTACATTATTAGGTTTAAATTCCTCAATTTTGAAATGTAAGTAAAAAATTACTTATTGTCAAATTATGTTTAATTTTATAGTTGTTAGATTGTTAGATTAAATTCAATTTTATTAAAGGGGTTAAGTATAATAAACTATGAAATTGAGTAAGATGAAAGAAAAATTAGTTTTAGTGACTAAAGAGATTTTAGAAATCGCTTAAACGTGAAATGATTAAATTTGGGTATGACCTATTTAATTATTGAAATTACTTAAAATAATTAATTGTTGATTTAAAAACTATATCATATTCCAGGCAGCGATACGGATATCAGGACAACTTACCAACCGGGTTGATTTTGCGATCATAGTACTACTATGAGTGAAAAAATATAAATATTTTTAAAGTATTTATAAATTAAGTTTATTGTTAAAGTATGTGCAATTATATGCAATTATGTGTTCGAATTACATGGTTATTATGGAAATATCTTTTATTATGATAAACGTGGGATTTCAAAGATTGTATACGTTACATTGTGAATTGGAATATGAGATATGATTTTGAGATCGACCAGAAAAGTACCCGTGATTATATATTTCTTCTAGTTCACTGAAGGGTCTTGGCAGCGTTCTATACTATACTGAGGGATCTTGGACCGAGAATGAAGGGGTCTCGACCGTGTACATATAGTTCACTGATTATGAGAGGTCTTTGAGACCGACTTTCGTTCACAGAGGGGCCTCGTGGCGAAAGTTCTTAATCGGAGGGGTGGATTATATATTTTAGTCAGAGGGTACTTTTTTGTAGATCACATGTGATGTGATGAGATGATGGTATAGATATTAGCTGATGACTATATCGTGATTATGATATGATATTTACAATGTTATAAGAATGACTTACTTTTTTCTATAATTGTATGAGTCTATCATGTGAATATTAAACGATAAGAACTGAATGTTTGGTAAAAATGTTTAAGGGAGAAATTATAATTATTTTCGAACTTCTTCACTCACTGAGCTATCAATTCATATATTTTTCCATAATTTTCCTACAGTTGAAAATTGACTCTTTTTAGCTGGAAGAGCCTAATGATTTTCAAATGAGAGCCACACGACATGTTGAATATTATAATTCATATTGATGAAGCACGAAGTAAATATTTTGGGCTCATCGCATTATATTTTATATAAACGCTTGACTTTGTTGCATTTTTTTAAATAACTCATAATCAGCTTTGGTGATAAATTTGACATCTAGTCAGCATCTATCATCGGCGCACGTCACGTTTCAGATCCACTAGGGTGATTCGGGACGGGTTGTTGCATTTAATTTCGTAATGTACTTTCGGGATTTGGTTGGGGTTCTATATTGAAGAATATTACTCAGTCGAGTTCGGAGGATATGGGTAATTTTGCTTTGTCACCATTATTAGCGGTTTCATCCCATTAGAGATAGTTATGTGAATGCTGATTCGGTTGCACATAGTTTTAGCATTTTTGAAGGTCTTGAAACTAGTACAGCCTTCTATGAAAGCATTGAGAGTTGATTATGCTATGGTGTGTGCTTCGATACTGTTTGGTAATTTCTAATTCTTTGTGAATTTTGGAAAACTCAGTATTTGGGTTCATGTATCTGTATTGGATATAGTGGAAGAGTAGCTGTATTTTTATGTTGGAGAAAGTTTTATTCTTGTTGAAGAGTTTGGATTTTCGATGCAGCCAGATTTACATTTCACGTGGAGAAACTTTGGAAATTCGTTCATTACATCGGAATTTGTGTCAAGGAGAGAATCGTTGGATTTTTTGACCCAAACTAAATTGGATTTTTGAGAAAATATGCTTTCCTTTATTAGGTTTGGCATGCACCTTCATAAATATTAGATTCTTTTCACAAGTTTTATATTTTCAAAATATAGAATAATTATGTAGGCACAGTTATTATATTTGTTTTCAGTATATTAATCAATTGAATAAAATACTCAATTCCAATTCTAATTAATTGTTTTCCTTTTATCTTTTGTTTATTTGCGATCATATAGATCATATCGTGTGATATATATTATATCAATCTTTTTTATTTCCAACAGTTAGAATGTGGAAAGTAAGCATGAATCTCATATACAAGTGCTTTGACTATGAACTAGAAAATTGACAGATATTGACTCGCACGATGTAGGCAAATCTCCCAATTGTTTCGATTATAGGGACGAGTCTAACTTTTAAGATGTTTTTTTATTTTAAATACTCAAACTTTGAAATTGAATTTTAACAGACTCCTTTATTTTAACTTTTAGAAATAAAGATGTGTTCGACTCTCTTTAGAATAATCTTATTTAATTTCACTGGAGTTATAACCTTGGTTTATGTGACGTTAAATGATAAATACAATTAATGAGTAATTTAATTTCACTTTTAGTTTAGCCAATTATCTAACGTATCATAGATTGGAGGTTATAATCCAGTGGGACTAAATAACATCATTTATATTTTTATCATGATTGTATTAAAAAATTACAAAATTCAATGCTCAACTATTTGAATTATTCATATTGAACATTTTGGCTACACTTAAAAATATATATTAATTGAATCATGAGGGAGAACAATAAATGATTGTTGGAAAAAAAAAATTAAAAAGCAAAAAGGAAAGAGTTTGCCTTATTTGATTGCCATTATTCGGAAAAACAATATTTTGAATAGTGATTTTTATGAGAACATGTGGTTTAAAAGTTGGAAAAAGATTTGAGTTTACGTACAGAATATTTTATTGTGTGAATTTTGTGGTTGAAAATGAGTATATAGAAAAAAAAAAGTTCAAGTAATAGTTGTCTAAAAAAAAAAAAATATTTGCCAAAGTCCTAAACCTTTCAAAAAATATGCTGTCAGATGCCGTACCTTATAATATTAACACTTACATCCCAAACCCTATAATAAATATGCGCACGAACGACTTTTTAACACTTTTCATCAGTAGGACCATCGGTTAACCAAAATTTCATCTCCAAACCTGTAGGTTACCGGAAATGGATTTGTTCGTGTAACGGGAGTTTATATATAGAGGTGATCAAAGATGATAGCTAACTATTTCTCTTTTGAAATGGAAAGGCAAACCAACTTCTGTATAATATAGAGGAAACAAATTCAAATTCTATTCTACATGCAAAAATACAAAGTCACCACACGAGACTTTGTGACCACGGAAGATGATGAGCTTATTGGAAATTGAATGTCACGAGAGCACATCAAAGTGTCGTTCATTGCAGAAAATACAGGAAAGAAGTTAGAAAGGATAGTGGCTAATATTATTTGGACAAAGAACATAAGGTAGCCATCGTAGCCTTTACAAGGAATATGGAATACATGCGTAAAAGTAAGTAACGAGGCAACCGGAAGATGGATATGCACTGGAAAAATAGTCAAATTGATAAGATTTTATCAAACGTTGTGCTCTGATATCAATGAACCTGGGACGACATCTACTTTTTCAAGAAAATATCATGCATTTTTTGGATAACCAAAATACCTAATAAATCATTACTCTTTGACAACTCCAGTAGCTCTTTCACTGTTGAATCTCAAAGAAGTTGATTATCTTGCTATTAGTGAGAACCGGAGAAGCTCAAAAGTGATCATTTGGTGCTTCTCTGTACCTCCTTTTGTCGGTAGTGCTGCTGCCAGCCATACTGCTTATCTACTGTGCTACAAGAGATCAGTTTATTTTTCAAATTGATGTGGTTCTTATGAGGCATATTCATGCAGTATCATGCAGCTTCAGGCCGTGCAATGGACAATATTTTAGCTGCCAAACAAAATACACCTGTAAATGGAATGTATATTTTAATTCTTGCATTCTTCTATTCCTACAATAATTCGTGTTTATATGCTATGCCTGTAAATGAAATATATATTTTAATTCGTGCATTCCTCTATTCCTACAATAATTCATGTTTATACGCTATGCTTGCTCAAGATGTAACTCAAAACTAATGATTTAGCCATTCTCATTTACAAGCAAGTAATTTATCAACCAAACTATTCAGTGAATAACTGAACCGTAGCAAAGGTTGTAGTTAGCAACCAAAAATACAATTCAGTTCAAAAAATTAATATCATTCCAATAAACTTCGAAAATTTGAGTTAGAAGGTAACGAAATTGTCTCATTGATGAAACTAGGTGATAGCACAGATTGCAAGTTAAGCAACCAGATAAACACAGACTTGTCAATGAAAACATTGCTGAAATAAGAGGATACAAAACATTTACGTTGAAGGAGCAGCTGCTGGCGTTATGTACCTTTTGCTCCAACTATATTATAGCCTATTTCAGGGGATAATCAAAATCCATCTTCTTTGTGCTTGCTTTTTCCAATAAAGTCGACATCTTGGGTAGTTTCAGATACGGCATGCCTCTGAAATCCCAGTGGACTTCGATCAGTCTGCCTGATATTAGACCTGGAGGAAGTCCAGCCATCAGTTGAATCAGCTGAAATAGGTTCCCATGAAGAAGAATCCTGGTGTCGTTGACTGCTAATAAAACTGTTGCTGCCAGAGGATTCCTGCTGTATTGATTCTCCTCCTACAGCATCCCTCACTGACACATATTTTTGAAAGCTTGGCTCCATCAAATCATCATAAACGGCCACCTCAGATTCCCCGAAGGGGTCCTTTCCATCACGCCTAGTAAATTTTTCTGATAAGGGGTTTCTTCTTTTTTCGTCTGAGAAAGTACTGGATAAATTTGACCTAGTAGTGGAGTTGAGGTCAGCAACAGCTTCAAGGATAGAACAGGCTTTAGTCAAACACGGTGGGAGAGAAAAGGTAGGGGGCGTACTATTTGTTTGGTGGAAGTTATGAATGTCTTCTAGCAATAGTGCTGTATAGGATGGAGTAGGATTGGACAGCTCTTCAAGTTTGATGTCGAGGTCTCGGGATAACTGAGAGGATCTGCTTCTTGTTTTCACAAGGGGTTTGAGATGTTCGGTTCCTGAAATAACGAAATTCAGTGCAACATTACTTGCAAGTCCATATGCTTCTGTAGTTTCTTTAGCCATCAGCTGTGGCTTCTCCTTGGCTTTGCAATTCACATTTGTTAAACTGTTGTCAGGTTTGTTCTTGCCCCCTTGCACACCTCTGTTATTATCAGCATTTGGCTTCTGCACAGTAGCCTGCATTATTCCAAAATGAAATCGATTCATGCCAGCGTTATGTATTCATAAAGACCTGAAAAACATTCTCTGCTTGTTTAAAGGACAGACTATAAAGAATCAAATTCAGAACGGAAAAGAAGTTTCGCGTACTGCCAGTCGGCTAGTTACTGCTTACCAATTGTGCACCCTAAACCTTTTAATCTGATTATTAGCCATTCTGTAGAGAGTCACGCATAGGCGCAAAAGTGACAGATCCCAACATAAGTTTAAGGTTGTCTAAGCATTCTTTAGTATATTTGACTGAGAGAATGTATAAAATTGACATCCTACAAAAATGGTAATGCACCCTAAAATTGTTTAGTATATCGACTCCCTCTTTGAAATCGACATCAATATCAAGCAGCACTCACTGAGAGAATGGTAACTCATGCATTTCAAAATCATCTCTCTTTTTCCATCAACATCCAGTTATACAACTTGCCTTCACTATAGTGAGCGAAATTTGATTGATGATAATATACACTAACTTCATAATTGTATCAAAAGCAATGGAATTTTTGTTGACTATATACCGAATTATCCATACTTCAATTCAATCAAGAAGTGAACCAACACAAATTGAGAAAATCTTTGTAAAACCAGTTAGGACTCAAAATTAGCATACCTGTGACAGAACTTTGTTCTTAGTCTTAATTCCAGGCGAAGAGGACATGTGTTCCACAATGACATTAGTGCCGATTTCACTGAGGGGATTTCTTCTGCAAGGAGAATGCTCAGCCTTCCTTGAATTGCTTCTGCTCAAGGACACTAACTGCTGGTGGTTCTGACCCGAATTAATGTTCTGATTCTCATTACAAACTCGAGCATTCGCCCTTGCTGGGGATTGAGCACGAGGAGATGCACTAGTTCTCGAACCAGCAGCTCCATCAGCACCCACATTCCTCTTCACTTGGATCCTTTTAACAGCAGTAGTCATATTAGGCTCACCAGAAGCAGCATTATTACTCTTATCCATTGCCAAAGATGAAACAGTAGCAGGCACCGAAACCATTTTACCAGGCCGGTTGCCTCTATCACCATTCGCATTGGCAGACGAGGAATTAGCAGTACTAGAACTAGTAATTGGAGATTCAGATCTTCGACCTGGAGATCTACTGACCCTCCTTCCACCACTGCCACTGCCGCCTCTTTCTCTACTACCCGACCGTGCCTGGTCCCTTTCTCTACTCGGCGTCCTCCTCCTCGTCCCCCCCTGAGATGAGGACCCAACCTCCACAGCCTGGCTGGGCCGGCGTCTATGGCGGCTCTCTCTCTCGCCTACCATTCCACCATCATCACCATTAACAACATTTTTCACATCAGTATCTTGTCCCTTCCTACCATTCTCATTGTCAAAATCAAAACTCCTCTTTGAACCAATACATTTTCTCCCCTTCTGAAGATTAATAACACCATTTTCAGACGATCCACCGGAACCAGAAATGGCAGTCTTCCCTGTAGATGAACTCCGGCTAAGCCTACCGCATTGTAGTAAAATGGCATCCAACTCTTCTTTTGTGCAACTTGAAGTCCTTACTGGGGCTGCTCCCGTAATCCCATAACCATTCACCAACTCACCGTTCTTGGCTTTGCTTTCTTCATCTTCGAACCGCCTTTCATTTTCATGGCTCTTCCTGTGTTTTATTATAAAAATATCTTTCTTTACAGTTTCTTGTTCTGCCTTCTTCTTCTTCTCCACTCCGGTATCAGATTTAACTTCTTCAGGCGGCTTCAGAAGTACACTAGGAGAAGAAGCACTAGTGCTCTTCTTGCTTAAACAACCCCCCATTTTCGCAAGCTTCAATAGAAGAAAATGGCAAAATCACAGAAAAATATATTTGTTCAAGAGGAAAGAGAAATAGATAAGGGGTTTTATAAAAAATAGATAAGGGGTTTTAAGAGGAAAAATGGTTGCATTGTTCAAGAAAACCATTGCATTTTAAATAGAGTAAATTTCACAACTGGTCCCTAAGCTATTGCTAGTGTTGAATTGTATTTGCTATGTTTAAATCATAGTTGGCCTCCAACATTTAGATATAATTTCTCAATCCATCCAAAATGACAAAAACTATTATCGTGTATTAAATATTGACATATCTTCATATGTTTAATTTTGTAAAGTTAAACTTTTAATTTGTAATAATCATGACAATCAATTTATAATTTGAATTGCATTTGCTATGTTTAATTGCATGTAATAAGTAGCAAAAATGCAATTTATTACGGTGTGACCTTGTACAAGTCAATATTTCTTTTTGGTCTTTAAGCTCCCCTAAGTTGAGCCTAGAAATTTATATAGAATTTCATTTTGACAATTTAGGAATATATTTAGCGCTTTCAGTATTGGAGATTAAATTGTGTAATTCTAATAAAATATTATAGATCTAAATTTTTAATTTTAAAAGTTTAATACGAATTTGCTCCTAAATCAATATATTGAGGACCAATTTTGAAATTGTACTCCTTTTAAAAATGTCATGAAGAAAGTTAAATTTGAATATTTGACAGAGACAAGCAATGAATGTAGCCGTTACAGGGTGAAAAAATATATTATGTCAGATTACCTACTACTGTTTGGAAACTATATATAATAACATTTTTACTAGGGAATCTTAAAATTTGAATGGAATCTTGATCCGAATTTGAAAGAGTGTTTGATACACCCAAATTTTTAGTGGAAAATGAAAAATAAATTCAAATACCATGTTTTTGCTTGATTGATGGCTCTATTTTTTTTTATGGCATTTATTTTCTAGCTTTTCATCCACCTAAGATTTTTCATGCTTTTCAAGGAATTTCAATTCATTGGAATTCTCAATTTTTTGCCAATAAAAACAAATTCTAAGAATTATTGTAAAAAAATATTTTCCTTTCATTGACAATTTTCATATAAAACAAAGTCAAACGAATATCAAAAGATAGATGATTTTCTTGAATTTTTTTGTTGGCAATGAAAACAAATTTCATCTCCAATATTAGTAAATTCTATTTCTTTAATCGACAATTTTCATGTATAATAAAGTCAAACGAATGCCAAAAAATACTTTTATTTTAATATTTTCCATGTGAAAAATTATACCAATAAAATGCAATAATTTACAATTTCCATGAAAATAATTTTTAAACAATTCAATTCCCTAAAATTCGTTTTCCTTGCATCTAAATATCATTTTTGCAATCAAACGAATTCTAACAGTCATTTTACATGTTGGTCATTGCTTTGGTAATTGGATAGATTCCGGTTTGCAATTTGATGTTTGGATCCAGGGGCGGACCCATTAATGTTCTAGTGGTTACAACCTTTTTCATCGAATTTCCAAATACCTTCAACTGGGCTATTTTCAAATTTAAAATTTTCAGAATTTTTTTTTTTGGCTTCTACAATTTATTTTGGCACATTTTCTGTCCCGCCCTCACTAAACCATGATATTCCTGGGTCCACCCCCGTTTGGATTAGATTATTTTTTGTTGGACATTTGAACTCAAAACTAGAAATTCTAACTATTGTATTAGAAACAGATTAATCCAAAAAAAGGATGAAGCAATATTTTCATTAGAAAGAATCGATAAGAAGTGTGTAAAGTATAATTTTTAAATTAAAAATCAAGGAAAATAGTGCCACCATATATATAGAGAGACTGGTCTTTGATGAACTTGAAATTAGGCAGGAATGCAAGTGTGTGACGGAGAGAGGGCCGGTGAGACAGATCGAGATCGAGAGAGATAGAGTGAGGGTCGTTTCTAATTTTTGCTTCTATCGTTTTGAAGTTTTGATTTAGGTTCAAATGATTGAATCTAGAAAGGAAATTTATTTAATTGCATGTCAGGTCAGTTTGATTGAATCAAGTTGATTGCAGAACTCGAAATCCAAACTGACTCACCAACTTTGGGCCTAAGTCTAATCCACCCAAATTGGAAAACTACCAAAAACTAATTCGAGTATGTTCGGATCGATCGATTTAGTTGGGTCCACGGTTAATATGTTCATCTCTATGCATTTCTCGAAAACAACTATTATATTATGTTACTTGGAGCATCTTAAAAAAAACCTCTATTTTCGAAGAGCATGTTTACTAATTAAGAGAGTACAAATTTTTAACTACTCCAACATGTTTTATATTTAATACTTCATTTTTACATCCGCATTGGCTCCTAGAAGATGGTTTAAATATGCAATCTGGAAGAGGTTGACGGCATGTAGTAATTTTATCGTACCATATCTAGTATGGAGGTTATGACAAGGGTTTTAAGACTTGAGGTTCCATCTTAAAATGTCAACCTTAGTAAGCGGAGTAGTCGAAAATCTTATAAGTTGGTTTATATTTTCATCGTTATTCGATGTGAGATTTTTATCCCTTAACATAACTCCACAAGATGATGGCTCATTTTTTGAACAATCAATCTTGAAATTTATATGTTCATTTTTTGAATTTCAATCTGATCGAATCGAATCGTTCGTTGAAATTTAATGGGTTCTGATACCATGTTAAGATTTGGGATTCAATTTTAAAGGTCAACCTTATTAAGTTGAATAGCCCAATATCTTATAAGTTAATCTATATTTTCATCGTTATTCGATGTGAAATTTTTATCCCTTATCAAAGGGCACATCTTATTTTCGCATGGCAATTTCCTTATACTCATCATTCTCAAGAAACAGTAGCTGTTTCATATGGATTATTCAAGCTAGAATTTTAGGAAATAATCTTCTGCATCACCCAAATATATTTCAAAGGCGCATGCCAAATATAATCATATCGAACTTACCAGGGCCGTGATTACTATATTACTACTATATCTTTGAAATATTGAATACTATTGATTAGATGGACTACACTAAAACAAATATATATAGAGAAGTGAACAATGCAGGGAATTGGCCTGCAAATCAAGAGTTGGACAACGACTGTGATGGATTAGTTTTAGTAAAGCCGATCAAGTACAAGGTTAAATCATGGGAATTTTAAGATTTGATACACTTAGTTTACCTAGCCTACTTTTTTATGCTTTATTTTCTGCCATTTTTTCATTTTCTTTAGCAAGAATCATAGGTGAAAACTCCACTAAAGAAGGAAGTAGTACTTCCATTTTCATTGTCTTTAAATTGTTTTAATCCCTCCTTTTGATGTAAGTGGCGGATTTAGGTTGCTTTAGCTCAGTACCCTCCCAGCCCATTTTAGTTTTCTATGGGTAGAATTTTTTTCTTAAGAATTTTTTTTTTTTTTTTTTTAAACATTTTAGTCAAATCTTTGATCAACTCCTTTGAAGATTATGTAATGAAGCACCCCTCCTATATGTATGCCATATATTTATCTATGAAATAGGTCAGGAAATCCAAACCCTTCCATGGAGTCTAGGTGCAAAAAGTGGCAAAGTCAGATGTTCTTCATCGTGGAGTCAAAAAATAGTTAATTATTTTCAATCAGCATAATATTAACTAAAATAATTCAATATATTACTACATGCATGCCTATATATTTTCATATAATTACACTGTTATCAATTTTGTCAAATAGATCATTTTCAGTATACAGAATTAGACTATCATTCAACCCATGATTTTCAATCCAAATAGCATGGTTCAAACTGTGCGTAGGGAGCTTTGTGGCTTCTAACATTGAGGGGGAGAAAAATGTCGTTGATCGCAGCGTCAGTGCAGATGAACTGAGTAGAAAGAAAAGAATTATTTAGTAAAAGTGGCCGGCTAACTGAGAAGATTGAAATTTGAGGCTTAAGAGAATTTGGGAGGTAAAAACTAGGGGGAAAACTCGTGTGAATAAATGACGTGAAAATTTTTTTAAAAAAAATCACAAATTTATGTGGGGTCCACTGACCCTAATCTTACCATGGGTATCGAGGCCTAAAATTCGTGCTTAGACTTTGGTGGTGTTTTGTAAAAAAGAAAATAAATGTGTATGGTTGTGTGAGAGGGACATGTTTATACACATAACAATAGGTGCATGTGGTAATATAGAATTCGTGGTGCACGTTGAGTAGGTAGAAGGAAATATGATCGAGTTAACACATTGTACTTGAGGGTTTGAACCAAGACTTTGACTTGAATGTACCAATACATTGTATTCACATTATGTTGGGCTGCTTGACTTTTCCACTACACTTCCTAGCAGATACTAACTTCACATTACGCTCTTTTGTTGTGCTTTGGGCCAAAAACATTGTTGTTAGGAGTCGTATTCTTGCACAAAGAAGCCCGAGTCAAACTTTTGTGACATATTTTCCATATGAATAATGATATGTGTAACAACACTAGTCTAGGTGACGCTAAGTGATAAGTTCAATAAAATGTAGAATTAAATTATTCATTTAATTATACATTGCATTTAATGTCATATTAGTGCCACATAGATTGATATTTTAAGGTGTGCTAAATAGCATTACTGTTTCGATCCATATCCATTGAACATTTTTTGACCATTAATTTTTTTATTTTTTATTTTTTTTTGAGGGCAAACCATTTCATTCCATTACTGAAGATCCCTAGATGAGGTTTTGATAGATACTGTTTTTAATCTGTTCAAAACTACATATACTTCAGCACCTTCACACATTTTTTTTATTTTTATTTTTTTAGCTTGTCTACACTTTTGTATCTATTATGAAAATTGGTGATCTGATCACTACATCTTGAGTTCAATTTTTTGACAATCCTAGAAACTCATATAAAGTAAGAGTAGAACCAAACAAATAGCATAATCTTTTGCATGTGATTAAACGAAAGTTTCAAGGTGCCACTTGAGGAGAGCCTTTTATGTTTATATTAGTTACATTATTGTTCTACGAAATATTCATATTTTATATTATATTTATGATTGAAACTGAGTCGTCTAAAATGTACTTCTATGATGCTATCTTACTAGACTTAAATATTGTTTGCGTCGCACCGTTAATACATATGTTGCTTAGTATTTAAATTTTATTGTCCAATT